AATCCAAACCGATCAGGGGCTGCAAAATCAAAAAGATACAAAATGAAAATGCAAGTATTGGGTAACCAAGAAAATGAAATTTCTAACAAAGTGTTAAAGAATCCTCACGATATCATTCCACACAAGAGGATTGACAGCATTTGATGTTTTAATAATTGCAAGACGCTTCTCCTCTCTGCTCACTGAAATAATCAAATTGAAGGTGTTACCTTCAAGGAGATGGATGTATGTATGGACTGCTATAAAACTTTCCAAAAGATGAATCTGGAGGTTCATGCGATGAAAACTTTAGGGATCTAGAGGAATATTCAATATTTAAAGGTTGCGAAAAATGAGCATGTATAGATGTTTTGATCACTAGAAATAATAATTTTGCCAAACCTTTTTGCATCTACCAAATTGTACGAGAATTGAGTTGACACACAAGATGAAGTCCAGAACTTCATTCTGAACTTGGTGTTTACACACTCTGTACAAGAGACTGAGGCCAAAATCTAAGGTTGATATTTCACATTTTTTAACTGTCAAACATACTAAATTAAAATTAATGACAGGAACAGGAAATTTAATGAACGAGTTTGAGAAACAAAAAGCACATGTTATTCTTATAAAATGTTTTAGTTATACAACTGAGCACAAGCTGTCCGTCAATGAGTTGGTTTGGAGAAAAAACATATGCAAGGAGAAGTGAAACAACAATGCTAGACTAGTAGAGCTTTTATTTCATACACAAGAAGCATAAAACATTTAGCAACTTACAGACAAGCCAAATCCACCCAGAGCCAAATAATGTGAGAGCTGCTTCAATAAACTTGTCCTTAAAGTTGGTAAATGAACCAAAATCCTTGTCAATCTGGTGGAGGAATCCCAATTTAGGCATGTCACCACCTCCCGGTTGCATGGATTCCCAGAAGAAATCATGATTCCATACCTGGGATAAGAAGATCCATAAGTATTGTAACTTGTGCTTTTATTGGAAAAATACAAAACATACTAATAGTTGTAGATATGAATTTGAATGGTTCTTTATCAAAATCTAATGAAGTTTACACATGTAGTAAATACAAATTATTCCTATGGGTAATCAATCCCCTCCACTTACTTGGGATAAAGTTGAATTTAGTAGAAATGGAAAAGCTTTGAACTTTAAATACACAAAAAATTACCTGGGCAGCATCAGAGAATTCAGGTAATGGATTTCCATTGTTGTATGTTAGTTTGATAAGTTGTTCCATGGTGCATCCATAAAATATGTCATTGTTTTCAATTTGTTTATTAAGAGATTCAACATAACCACGATGATGCTCTCCCCAATGTATCTCAACCATCCTTTGGCTCATATATGGTTCTAGTGCGTCCTACAACAACACCAACAACAACAGGGGTCACTTTGAGTTTGACCCAAAACAAAAAAAAACAGTTACGACTTACAAGCTTATAAGGTGGGGTTTTAAGGCCATAATAAGCAGAAACGCTTCTCTTCTTCTGCCTCAAACCCTGCAATGTAAACAACACAAACCACAATTAATACATACATAAACACAAGAGTAAGAGCCACGCCGTAGAGTCAAAACACCTACAACATTTGGTATATTGAATTGCCTCCACAAATCACTTGAAGTTGAAGTGGAAAGACGATTACAACAGCACCAACTCATTGCTTTACAATTTCCCCTTATCCAACCCCTTTTTAGGTTAGGTTAGGTTACGCCCCCAAATATTAAGTTTCTCTTTACTCACTCCTCCCATACCAATTTATATTGTATATACTCCCTCCCTCCTCTTTTCCGACTCGGAATAATTTTAATTTATAAATACTAGCCCCAAATTATTTCATTACTTACTATATCGAAATAAATTAGTTACATAAATTTCTCTTTAAAAATTTATAATGAAAAGTTAGTTACACGCTTAAATTATTGCAGCGACCTATTACATATCTAATCTTGTTTAAAGTGATATTAATACCCATCAGAACGTGACATGACAAATAAAGTGTCTTCACCTTCCTTAAGGTGCGTGAGAAGAAAAAAATATATATTAGAACGAAAAATTTGAACACATAATATTATTTTATTGGTCATTATACAATTATGTATTACAACTTTTAATATATCAATTATTTCAATTTGTTTCTTTTTTAATCTTTTATTGGCCCCAATTTCTTTAAAGCATTTACATTTTTCTTAATTTTGAGTTCTTTTTAGGAATTACTACATTTGTCACCATTAGTTGTTTGATGGAAGCACATCCAATACTCTACCCTGAAAGAGAAACTTATAAAAAGAAATAGAAAGGAGTGAAGAATATGATGACTTCAAAAGAAAAGTTAATAATTTTCAACTTAAAATTCATGATTTTTCCGTTCGAACTTGCTGGAGGATTCACTAGAAAAAATTACCAAAAAATAACTATGAGAAAGATAATGATTTTTATTGATTATCTTATAACATTTATGCATAAAAATCATGATTATATTGCCTAGATTTTTCAGAAAATATAGAAGAAAGTGATTTCTCCATCTTTGTCTTCTCTATTCTCGTCGGAGCACCACTTACAATCACCACAATGTCATTTTTATGTCTCAAATCATCAATAGCATATTTGATTAATCATTACCTACAAAGAATACTAATGAAATGCTTGATTTACACATTAGTTATCAAGATTTTTAAAGAATTTTACGAATCTGAAGGTTTTATTTGTCCACCGGCAACAGTGGTGTTGCCCATCGCCTATCGCCTCTGCCAACATCTCTCAACTTCATAATTGACTTATTGACTCCTAGTTTCTCTTCAAATTTTTATTTTTCATTCAATTTATGAACACTGGAGAAGAAGACGAAACATATTTTAAAAAGAGAAAAGTATGGTGAGAGGAGGAAGATACCCAAAATATTTATTCTTTTGCAACAGTATAAGAAAATATCAAGAGATAAAAGTTTTAATTTTTTTTTTAAAAAATTATTTATATATGAAAACGCGTGTACAATACTTCTTTTTATAGAATTGAGATCGTATACGGAAGGAGATATTAATATCACTTTGAACAAGATTAGGTGTGTAATAAGTCACCACATCATTGGAGTGTGTAACTGAATTTTCGGTACAAGTTCAGGGGGTAATTTATGTCTTTTCCCAATAAATCAATTCAATTTGTTTTCATTTCATACCTATATCGTAAATGGTATGAGATATCTTTCATCATATTTTTGGGACATTGATGCCCTACCATCTAAAATTAGAGCATATATGCCCTTCACTCTAACGGAATACTAAATATAGACAAGTGGTACAATCTTATCCATCCATAAATGTCGGGTCGATGGATAAGCTTATGACACATGTATGTCCATTAGTATAAAGGGTATATATGCTCTAGTTTTTGAACGGCAGAGAGACTAATGTTCCAAAAAAATATGATGAAAGGTATTAGCATACAATTTATAATAATTTAGGGGTACATTTGTCATTATGATGCTTAATTTTTTTCATCACTTCTCTTTGAAATCTTAAGCCAAACTGAAATTCTTCAAATTTGTCTTTCAAAAGAGTTCATGACTTAATTACTCTCACCCATTTTGGACAACTTATATCTTTTCTATGTCCTATGTTATCATAAATTATTGATATCCATCATTATGGATAAACGGTAAATTAATCAAATTATTTATAATTTATTAATTATAGTGTAAAATAGAAAGTGATAAGTTATACTGGGATAAAAGGAGTAGAAAATTTTGATGTGGTATTTCATTTTTTTTTGCTTTTTCTAATATAGTAGATGAGTGAGTAGAGATACCGTGTATGTCTGGTATGAAGAAAAATAATTTTCTGAATTTTTTTTTCAAAATTTTCATTGTTAATTGGTTGAATGTTTAGGAAATTATTCCAAATCAATTCATTTTTTTCTCAAAATTAAGGAAAATGACTTACATTCATATATTAAGCAAAACATTTTTCAAAACTCTCCTCCAACTTCACATTATAATTTTTTTTATTGATTTAAATTTTCAAAAACTATTTTTAACTTCAATTTTTTATTATTAACTCCACTCCTACCCCCGCCAACCCCCCCTACCACCACCCCCAAAAGAAAATTATAATTTGTTATTAAAAATATTTTAATTTTTTTTATTTTTTCACCCCACCCCTATCTTGGCCCACACCCCATCTTCCCCTACTAGCCCCCCCCCCCATCCTACCCCAAAAAAATAAAATTAAAGTTTGTTTTTTTAAAAACATTTTCAATTTTTATTTTTCAACCCCTCCCCCCCCTCAAAAAATAAAAATAAAAATTTGTTTTCAAAATATATCTTAAATTTAAAATTTATATTTTCACCCCTTCCCCTACCCTCTACCCCACCTCCAAAGAAAAAATTAAAGTTAGCTTTTAAAAGAAATATTTAATTTCATTTTTTTAATTTTTCACCCTACACCACGCCTACCCGCGACCCCCCATCAGTCCTCCGCTTCCCTCCAATAAAATTTAAATTTTTTTGATAAAAAATATTTAATTTTAATAATTTTTTTCAACTCTCTAGTAAAAATAAGAGATATTTTCTTAAAAATATTTTTTCCATAAATTAAACACTAAAAAATAATTTTGGAAAATATTTTCTACTCACCAATTAAAATAATAAAATATATAAAAAAATTATTTTCCATAAAAAACCATTTAAAAAAAAAACATTTTCCTAGAACACATACCAAAAATACCCATGGTATCAACATGTCGGTTGACTGGGAATTAAATTTGTAATAGGGGCATCTCAGACTTTAGCATAATACTCCTTCAGTCATTTATTTGTGATTTTGTACTTTTTGAATGTTAATTTGACTAATTTTTAGAGTTAAATTAGATTATGTTAATTTGATATTTAATTTTAAGAAATAGATATTTAAAATCTATATAAAAGATATTGTAAATAGCAATTTTTTTTAACCAATATGATGAAAATATATATTATAAAATGTTTATAAAAGCTTTTATAATTTGAATTAAATAAAAAAGGAACAATGATAATTAATTATGAACCGAAGGAATACTTTCTTATTGAATTCATTGTTATTCTGCCACCGCATCAATGCTGCCTTGCTATTTCCATCTGTCTCTCTATGTGGCATCCCCAACCCACTTTCATGGCATCTCTCTCAGTTATGGAAGAAAAATAGACAGAAGTGTTCTTCAAGTATTCCTGCAATTTAAGGTAATTCTTTCTCATTTCTTCGCTCTTCGCTTTTTAATACAATATTTTCTAAGTTTTTATCAACCTAGTTTTCTCCTAAATTGTCTTTTGGTTTCAATTTTTCATGTGATTTCTACATTTGGCTGAAGAAAAGCGCTCGTATTAGATTGAGAAGAATAGAAATTAGGGCCATAATGACAGAATTTATATTTTAAAAACCCTACATTTTGCTGAATAGATTTATAAAGCTTTTCTTTTATATTTGGTTTATATGAGTTCATGCAATTTGAAATTAGGGCCAAAATGTCAGTATGAATATTTAACAGCTCTCAGCTCTCAATTTTGGTTAGTTCTTTCCTCCGATCAATCTTTGCGTATTGTACTTATTTGTTGTTCACTGCTTCTAAACAACAAGAACAATTTATTTGTCCATTTTGCCTACTTTGGCCTTTAAATGATAAATTTTCTCAACTCATGTGAGCTGAAAAATGATTTTGTGATTGCCCTGTCATTTTTCATGTGTTAGCCTGATGATGTTGGGGTTGCGACTTTTTTTTAAAAAAATTCTGGGATGCCATTTAAAGACTTTCAAGTGCGGTTTCCTATGCATCATACTTGTAGCCACAACTGTTTGTGGGTGCATGTTTGATGTGTTTTTCTTTTTGTGAAAAATTTCATACTTTGAAAATGCTCACTGATATATTTCAACATGAACTATGTACTAGAATTTGGTGTTTATCTGGATATTCATCATAAATGTCATAAGTTGATTATCCCGTCATCTTTTTTTAGGTTTCATTCTATTCGAATTTCATTTTCTGAGCAATCCCTTTACTATTCTTCACCCTTTTCTCTTCTGTCTAGACCTTCAAACATTGAGACTTGCCGGCTTCTCTATTTATGCATGTACTCATCTCTCAAATGATATAAATACCACCTCTTTAGGAAAACAATAGTGAATTCAAGTAAACCATATAATTATTAGATGAATATCATTTTCATTTTTCATAACACATGTATATATAGCTTCACTGGTTTCTTTATGACTTTTGTAATGAATGTGTAAGCAAATAGTCTAGAATTTATAATTTATCTGACAAGTTATGATTGACAAGCTATTGTGAGTGATTTCACTATTTCACATTAACTTAGCAAGAATCTTTTCTTGCGAGGAACCAACGTATTTTCATGTATTAGTTACTTGTAGTTTGAAATTCAGAAAATTCATTTGATATATTATAGGTGTAGATCAATCTTTTGATGTGATAAAACTTATTTTACAGTCTATTGAAAACAATCTCTTTACCCACTAAGTTAGGGTTATGGTCTACGTACACATTAGACCCACTGGTCTATGTACATGTTACCCTCCCTAGACCCACAAGTGGAATTACATCGAATATGTTGTATTTTATGTTGATGTATATGTATAGTTTCATCTGTCTTGTTAATGTCAAGGTGCTACATGTTACATGTATAATTTTTTTTTTTGAAAATGGAGCTACATGGATAATCTTTTAGAGTAAATGGAAAGAGAATTTCTCACTGTTTTGTCTTGAGCATATAAGTTGTAGCTTCAAATAAGTAATTATACTCTTTGAAATTATTGCGGAAGTATTCCTACAATTATCAAAGCCATTTTATCATTGAACCTATTGGTTTCACTAAAATTTGGTCCGAAGATATCTGTCCGTCAGTTAACAACTATATGCACTCGGGGTGTAATTTTTTTTGTTGCTGATAGGTAAAAGACAAATAATGGAGAGACGTCTGGATGGAGGAAAAATTGTATTGGAGTAAGGGTCGTTTTGGGTGAGCATACACATCTATTAGATTTTAGATTTCATCTAATAAAGTTTGAAGTATATTTTGCACCACAATATACCATTAGGGAGTAGAGTATATCTCAATATACCATTAGGGAGTAGAGTATGCCTGTATAATGATATCCCCTGTTTAATTAGGTTTTTCTTCAATGTTCCCTTAGGAAATTTACATTTTTAGCTTGATAATGTCTGGTTTCCACATTTACCAAGACAAGAAAATTTATAATTTTATTTTGCAACAAGTTCATAGTTTTCTTTAACACATCTCTATAATTTTCATCCAAACATCTTAAAAATTCCAAATCATGTATTGGGTCCGTGCACAACACGAGCATTAGTATCTAACTACATAATATTCTTCCTTTTGTCTTTTAAATCAATTTCTCAAAGTAGGTATTTCAAGTACTTTTTCAACACTTAAGTCTAATTCTTTTCCTTTTATTTGTTCAAAAATTGTATTATCAAATATAATTTTTTGGTCTGATAATTCTTCATTTTGATAATCTTCTTTAGATATTATTTTTATCTCATCTTCAGACATTATATTTCTTCATCTATTTCATTATTATCTAGATTAATATTTTCTTCTTCATTTTCAGTTTCTATATCTGATACTTCATATATACTATCGTTTTCACTTAATTCATAGTCTATGTAATCTATTTGCATATATTTGTCATTATCTATAATTACTTCTGCAATTTGCTTCCTTTTCGGATCTTTGGGTAGTTTACAATCTCTAGCTAAATGTCCTATCTTTCCGCAATTATAACAAGTACATTGGGATATTTTTCTTTTTGGTCTATATGATCTTTTTATTTTATAATTTTTTATATAATATCTCCGTCTTGGTTTATACTTGGTTTTAGTTTTTCTATAATTTTTATACCTTTTAGGCTTTTGCTTTTTATTTGTACATCCAAACTGTGGTGCTATATTATTTTTACAACAGGCTAAATTCTTGTTTAGTACTTTTTCCATTATTAATTTTTCTTTTTGGTTTTCACATAGTTGTATGAACCATTGATGTAAAAATTTTATTCTAGCTCCTAAAGTATCTACTAATCCTTCATCATTCCAATCTTTAATTATTTTTGTGCTAAATGGTTCTGGTAATTTTGTAATATATTGTTGTCTTATTTCTTTTGCTTCATTTAAATTGTATTTTGCTTTGTAATAGTATTCCTTAAATGCACAAGTGTATTCTTCTATATAACACATTTTACATATAGCTAATTTTGTCATAAGTTGACTATTTATTTATTTTTCTCTGTTTTGTTCTCTTATATCTGTGGTCATACCTCCAAATTCATTTCTTATTGCTGATTCATATTTATCTAGTATATCTATGTTTGTTGCTGATGGAGATCCATCCATTTTCTTGTCACTTCTAAGTACTTCTAAACTTTCTAAGGGTAGATTTTCTATCCATAATCTTGTTGTTCCTACAAATATTCTTTCTATATATCTTGGTGTTTCTGTTGTTTTTATTTTGTTATCTATTAGTTGCTTAGATATATTTCCTATCCATAGTAATATTGCTTTATTTATATCTGTAACACAATCTAGATCTAAGAAATTATATTGTTCGTTTATTGATTTTGGTGTCCAATTTTTATTTAATCTACTATTCCATATTGCGTTAGTTCTATCTGATTGCTGATAACTTTCTGTATAATAAGTTTGTGGTGTCCATCTGGGACTAATTCTAGGACTATTTCTGGGACTATTGTCTGGAGTTTTAACTCTTGACGTACTAGGTCGATTCATATCTCCTGTGTTTATTTCTAATTTTTTCGATTTATTTACCCGTTCTAGAATTTCTGTGTATGTCTCACTTATATCACTTATTTCTGATTTTTGGTCATTTATTGTATCTGATTCATTTTCGTCTATTTCATTTACTTCAAGGTCTTCATTTAGTTTTTGTTCCATCTCTTTTATTTCATTAGTTAATTCTAGCTCTTTTTCTTTTTCTATCTGTTTCTCTTTTTGTTTAGTTTCATATAATAATTTTAACCTAGCTAATTCTTTTTCTAATTCACTTATTCTTGTATTTTTTATTTCTTCTAAATGTTGTACTTCTTGTTTTGCTTGTATTTTTATTTTTTC